CCACACCTCCAGAGCCCCGGACGGGGGAAAGTAACCGTCCAACAAGGCTAATGTCAAAACAATGCCAAAAGTCAAATAATAAAAATAACATCGAGCAACATTTATTTACAATCAATGAAAATATTCTTAATTACGGTTTGTTTCATTAAATTATAATGCATAGTTATACTTAACTACTTAGGCTTTGACGTGATTTATTCAAAGGTTTTATTTATAATTTTCATTCTTGCTAACCTTAAAATTTTATCAGAAAATGTGTTGTTATTTTTTTAATTTTTTTATAATCTGTGTTAAAAATGAATAAAGTAAATAATAGGGAAAGGTTATCCCAAGAGACGTCCGATTCATGTCTACTACGCGATTTTTCTTCCCCACTGGGCTAGGCAGTCATATTTCTGGCTTGTTATTTGTTCCGTTGCCTCCCAGGTGTAACATTTTTCAATTGTTGATCGTATCGTCTACTTGATTACTCCGTTGTTTGTTTACGATTACGGAAATGTTTTATTGCCACTGGAGTTTTTCTCTGCGGTGTTCTATTATTTTATTTACACTGAAAATGTATCGTAATGTTTTCTTATACAACTCCTGAAACGGTGAAATAACGTAGAGTATAAAATGAGTGATAAGGTAGAAAAAAAACAATGAAATTGAGTATAAAACGTTTTAATTTACGTTTTTGAAGAATTATACTGGGTTTTTGAAGTACCCACTTATTGTGTCATAAGCTATCGATTTATTTATCGTTTATGTATATCAACGAAGTAAAACTCAAGTTACGTAGTTCGGAAACGCATTTCGTGGATTTATCGAAGCAAAAACACTAAAGAATGGTTAAACGTAGCTGGGAAACCGGGCATTAATCATTTATAAAACACTTTAATGGACAAAAACTAAATGATCTCAGGTATTATTTCTGGTATTTACATTATTATTTAATTAACATCACAACTTCTTTAATTTTCTCATTAGGAACAAGTTTTTTTCTGCTTTTTTGATCTACATTTGTCCTTTATAATAATTGTTTTAAAATATTTCCAGCATATGTTAAACGTATACAGAGCCTACCACAAACGTGCAGAAGAGGCGGGTGTTATCATAGTTCCAAGTTGCGGTTTCGCCTCTATACCAACTTCGACTGGTTTAATACTATTGGATAGACATTTTAAAGGTAAATCTTACTAATATTATAAATGCGAAAGTTTAGATGGATGGATGGATGTTTGTTAGTGTTTGTAGCTTAAACGGTTGAACGGATATTCATGAAATTTGGCACAGGTTTAGAGCATAGTCTGGAAGAACACATAGGCTACTTTTTATCCCGGGAATAGTAACGGCTCCCGAGGAATTCATTAATTTAGTTTTTTAATGTTTACTCGATCATTCTGCAACGGTTCAACATATCTTATTGAAATTTGGCACAGATATAAAACAAAGTCTGGAGTACACACGGGATAAGGTTCATCCCCGAGAAACGTCCGGTTCACGAGGGAAACGTAGCTATTTGTTATTTACATAGTTCGTATGTTTTCTAATACCACGCAGACGAAGTAGCGAGCAACAGCTCGTTTATGATATATTTGTTAATTTAAAGGATCCAGTGTTTGAATATTTATAATATTAGAACTCGTTTGTTTACAAGGCTATAGGCGTTTTATGTTAATGATTGATTTCAGGGTCGTTGCACACAGCCGAATGTTACGTCGAGTTACACATACCTAGAGAATGTTATTACGGCGGTAGAAACAAAACACTAGTACATTACGGTACTTGGGAGGCTTTTGTTTATGAAATGGCTAACATGAAGAAGTACAAAGATTTGAAGAAAGAGACCTTTGGTGAAGAGACCAGTGAACCTGTACCGAGGGAAATAAAACAGTAAATATAATTTAAGATCTTATTAGAACTATAAATGGCGATGTCTACCACATTTATCAAATTAATCTTTATTGGAAATGGAGTTCTAAAGGAAGTTCTAAGGAACTAATTAACATTTCTATATGTAAACTAAATTTAATATTACCAATATTACAAGTACCAGAACAGTTATACTTTGCCCAGTAGCCCTTTAACTTTTTCATAATTGATATCCTTAAAGTTGGAAACTAAATCAATTACAAAAGCAATTGCTGTTGGGCTTTCAAATACGCGTATGTTTACATTGTTATCGAACCCATCTTCTTCTGCGTCTGACATGTGATTTCTGTATTATCTTGAACTTTGTATTTCCCTGCCTTTGTACCCGCGTCTTACGGAAATGTCAACTTTTTTTTCAGTAATTGCTATATTTCCTTAAATATTTAATTGGTATTTAAACTTAAAGGTGTTTTAAATTCGTTTTTAACATCTTCAGACACGGTGTTCCCGTTGAGCCGATCGGCACAATGGGAAAAATGTCTTTAGGCCGATTGATCGGTGGTTCGATCGACCCAACGAGAAACACTCTGTTAGAACGTTTACTTTTTGCATAATATATCTTCTTGCAGTGATTTTATGCTGAAACATTTGTACTGAATTAACTATGCATGGATTAAGAGCAAACACACAAAGGTTTTATAAAGTGAAAACAAAAAGTATTATAATATATTTTGTAGCGACATAATTTCTGAATTTAAAACTTCAGCAGCACTTTGTCATTATCGGTTTAAGGTTTAAGCCCTTTTCGAAAGAGAAATTTCAATATTAACTCATCTTAATGTTTGCGTTTTCATTACGTATGTTTCACTAGCTTTTGCCCGCGATTCTGTCCGCGTAAAATTTAAAGATAATGATTAACAAATGAATAAATATAGGTTATGTTACTCACGGATAAATAACGGTGAAAAAATGTTTAAATTCAGCACAATAGTTTTTGAGCCTTTTCGTTACAATCAAGCAAAGTTTTTCTCTTTATAATTTTAGGTATAGATTATGGTTTTTGTTTGTGTGTTGTCTAAAAACTGTATTTTACAGTTTTCATAGCCTGTGCTTGTCTGTGTAAAAAGAAACATTCTTTTTGCCCCTCAAAAATCATTGTGTTGCGTATTCACAATTTCACTTGACATATGTCGGGGCCAACAAAACTCTGCGCGTCACGGAAAATAATCAACGGTTAAAACAAAGGTCGTGTTTATGCGGACTACCTTTTTCTATTACCTTTAGAGGGCGCGCACATTTTTGACTAAATAATCGCACAACTGTTGTGAGATTGTTTAGTCAACGGTGTGCGCCCGCTCTTACTGTTATCTGACCATTCTTGTGACATTCAACGTGTAATTTTATTATGTCTATTAAAAATCATACTTTATATTAATATTACAAATCCGAAAGTTGATGGATGGTTGAATGTTTGTTAGTTTGTAGCCTAAACGGGAACGGTTTTCAATAAAAGTTGGTATACATATAGAACACATAGGCTGCTTTTGTTTTTTCTTTTTAAGTCTACGCGGACGGAGTCTCGTGCGAAAACTAGTATATATAGATATTAAGTTTGTATCGGTTACTTTAGGCCTGTTTGCCAAATGATATCCCAAGTCGTGTATATTTGTGAACATGCTGTAACAATCATTAACTGAATTACCATTCCAACTAAGCTCTAGGCGTGTGCTAGGATGTGGTACAGCACAATAGTCCAGTGGCGGAATACGAACCCTTGACCGCAACATTGGTAGTTAATACCCCAAACCATTAGGATGTTGGCGCTTTCATTATTATAGATTTAGTGTTTCTATTACGTTTAATTTATCCTTAGATAGTAAATTATTGGAATATCGATCTCAAAATTGAGTGAAATTCACGCTTAAAATCATAATTTCCGTTTCGGAATTGCGTATTGAGAGAACAGATGTGACATGCCTTCGGCTCGTGTTCCTTGTTGATGTATGTTGTCGTTTGCTCTGCATTATATTCATATTTTCTATATAGAAATCTCCTTCCTATCCAACTTGGATAATACTAAAGCAAACATTATAGAATAAAAGTTGACTTTAACACTTCGAAATTAGTCTTATACATTTTACATATTTGTACTATAGATGTATGTTTCAATAAAATGATTGTTCTCCCGAAATTCTGTGTTTAAATAAAATAAAACTAAGGTAATTTTTCGTGTTTTATGAAGTTTTATAATATTTTATTTCACTCATTGTTACAGATCATTTTTTCATAAATACGAAAGGAGATGGTGGTTCCCTTATCCAGGACCGGATTATGAAGTCGATTCTATAGCTCAAATATATTTCAAAGAGAAAAGAGGAAAGAAACCAATACATTTCAGGGCCTATACAACGATGCCGTTATGGATTCACTTTTTGATAATTCCTTTAGTTTTCATTGCATATTTTCTATGTAAACTTAAATGCTTTAGGAACTTAATGTGGAAGCATCCAGGCTTCTTTTCGTTTGGTTTAATGTCACATAAGGGGCCATCAGAAAAACTGAAGAATGATTTAAAGTATACGTTTACATTGATAGGAAAATGTAGTGATCCAAATGCGAACAAGCATATTGTAAAGGTAAGGATACATTAATAAAACTATTAAAAAATTAATATTATAGCAAATAACGTTGCTATATTTGACTATCGCCTAAAGGGGTTAACTAACGTTACGGGCTGTAATGTAGCATGTTACGTGTTACGCGGAGTGCACGAGTGACGTGTTACGGCATGAATATTAACAATCTAGTTTACGAGTAACTAGTGCTTTGGCTACCAATAATTAATTGGTTAATTGGTTGCATGTTCTGTAGATGTATAAGAAATCATATGAGATCATTTGTCAAACTGTATGTTAAAAATACCTTTCTATTTTAGATTACTGGATCCGACCCTGCCTACAAATCGACAGCAACAACGGCCCTCTTTTCTGCAGTTACAATATTATTAGAGACCTCGAAAATACCAAAGTAAGTTGCATACAGCGTGAGTGATATAAGGCACTTTAAATTAAAAAGATTTTGTCTTAAAATGTAACGTTTTTATATTTCAGAGGTGGTGTTCTGATGCCAGAGTGTGCTTTCTACGATACAGATATCGTTGAGCGTTTAAAAAGTAATGGAATAAGTTATGAAATTGTAGATAATCGGCCTAAAAGTAATACGTAGAATTATGCAAATACATAAATAAAATTGTTGTTTATTTTTATTGTATCATATAAATGTTAAAAGTATTTACGAAGTTTTATTTATTAACACGTCTTTGTAATATATCAAGTCAAAAGAAAGAAAACATATTCGATTCCGTTACACTATATTTATTAATTACGTTATGCAGCGGCCGTAAAACTTAAAAGAATTCAAGACGTAGGCCTTGACATCTTTCTACCATTTCGGTATAAATGTCCTTTTATATTGCAACATTATTTTGCATTATTGTTTACTAGTTTTCATCCGTGACTACGTCCGTTTGGAATTTTAAAAGAGTAGCCTATGTGATCTTACAGACTATTCCCTTCATCTATGCTAAATTTCATCAAGATCCGTTCGAAAGTTCACTACAGTTTGACACTACAAACTCTAACAAACATCTATCCATCCATAGAAACTTTCGCATTTATAGTAAGACTAGCTGTTGCTCGCGACTTAGCCCGCGTGAAATTAAAAATAATATAGCCTATGTTACGCACTGATAACATAGCTTTCTAATCGTCAGATATTTTTTTAAAATCGGTCCATTAGTTTTTGTGTTACTTTACTACATACAAAAATACAAATATTTCCTCTTTATTAGTGTAATTAACAAAACTAATACATTTTTTAATGATTTTTTTAACTCTCACGAATGTTTTAACAGTTTAATGGTAGATTGTCAATATTACTGATATTTTAAATACGAAAGATTAGATGGGTGAAATTTTATAATAAAGAATCTTCAGTGGTACTGATTAAAATTTTATGCAGAGGTAGAAAGCATAGTCTACTAATTGTTTTTTTTAATACCACGCGTATGAAATCTCTGTCAAGTCTGTTGATTCAAAAGATTTTGCATACTTACCGTATTAGATTTTTTGTTTAAACATTTCCTTCGATCCATTCTTGATTGTGAAGATAATTGAGATAGGTTGATAATTGACAGGCTTAACACGATTGTCAATTATTATACGGACACTAATTGATGTTAATTGACATTGTATAATTGCACGTGTCAAATGGAAGCTTCCTTGTGGGACGTTATTAAGGTCCAGCTATCAGTCTGTTAAATATATTTCTTACTATACGGGGTGCAAAGTACGTGTCACATGTTTACACTCTATTTGTCTATTTAAAGTAATTTAGTTGAGAGTGTCGGTAGCTCAGTGGTTTAACCACTTGACTGGTAAACTACAGGTCTTGGGTTCGAATCCCGGCATGTGCCAATGTGATTTTCGAATTTTCATATGTACATAATATACCCTACGATCTTACAGCGAAGGAAAACATCGTGATGCAACCTGCACATGTCGGCAAAGAAATACAAAGATATGTGTGAAGTCAACGGAACCACTGGGCCAACTTGGTTGACTATGGCCTAGTCACCCTAACTAAAGGTAGGTTTTGAGCTCCTCAGAAGGGCAAGTGAGCTGGTGATAATGATGATGTGTCATTTCAGTCGAAATCCACAGAAATAAAAGATATGTTAAAAAGATTGAAAGTTTATTTACATTAAAAGTAATTTTAATATCACGCATTTTTTCCTAGATTGACAATCGCTTGCTTAAACTAAAATAAAACAACTTACAATTCTAGGGCCCTTCGTATACAAGGGAACGTAAATCGTCGTAACTCGAAGATGTTAATCGCTAAGCGACTTACACAATACACAGGCATACGTTGACATTTCTACCTGTCATCGCCAAAGCAATCGCTAGCTGCCTGTTTGTCAAGATTGTCGTGAGAAAAGTCGCTGCGATTTAAAAGATGGCGGAGCAAATCTCTACCATTATTTTGTAAATAAACCGAATAGACAACTCATGGCGACGATACAACGTTGTGTGTAGACCGCGATTTTAGACGATTTAAGTTTCTTTGTATAAGAAAAGTCTAAACAAATACATATAATCACAATATTGAATTATTATATAATATGACCAGTAAGACCGCGCGCACATCTTTGACTAAACTATCGAACAATTGTTGTGCGACTGTCGATTGTTTCGTAGGCAATTCAACTGTTTAGTTGCACAATTAAATATCGAGTAGTATGCGCACTTACGTATCTCATAGGAAACAAAGCAAAACTAAATAGTTGTGCGATAGTTTAGTTTGAGGTGTGCACACTAAGATTATAAACTGTCGAGGTTTAATCGTGACGGTGATTTACAATGTTCTTTGTACAGAAGATAATATACTAATATTTACTAAGCATATAAAATTATTCCTCTTATGTAAACTAATTTAACATGCCGAATATTAACTTTGCTGTGTAAATAGAAACGTCTTTGATTACATTTTATTTAAATCAAGTTCTGCGTTTAATCTAATATTTAAGATAAGTACGTACTCGACTGTCGTTCGTGTTTTTAATAAAAAATTTCCATTCACATCACATTTTTCATCCGCATTGCCGAGTCCTTGACACATTATTAAATGTTTAATGGAATCATGAAAAACATTTTTTTTTTAATAAATTCAACTGCTAAAAATAAAAATATTTGTCTATACATACATTGATACTTTTTACTTTAACAAGTGAACATTAAAAAAAAAGTAAATTTAAAAGTTGTCTTTATTTATTTTAAAATAATAATTTGTGAAAATTCAGACTTATATTTGAACTATCTGTGTTTTGTTTCGAAAGCCAAAAAACATTTGATACATATGTACGTTAAATTTGTTGTACAAGTTTTTGGACAATGGAAACTCACTTAAACTTCGATTAAAATTGTTCCTCAATTGACAATTTAATAATTACACAATTAAAAATGAATAATTCGACATACTATATGGCAAAAATTGACCGAAACATAAGTCAGATGTACATAACATTTTTTTGTCTCATTACTTACATAAAATGTTAATGATTCGGTTCGGAATCTCATATGTGTATATCATTAATGGTGTCAGTATCACGAGATCGTATGGATAGCGATGTTGATGACGGTCGTTAGAATAATGAATGAACACTTCGCCATTCGTCGTGCCGACGAGCTTGTCTCTGAAAGAAGCAAGTAATATTATTGTATTATTTTTATGAAAGAATCAAAGGTGTACCAAATGTTTGGGTCTACTTCAGGGATTCTCAATTAATTTATGGTAGTATGTACAATCAGGGAAACTGCCGGTTTTCAACACAACAAGCTACAATCGTTTGTAAATTTTGACACGAGACGCGAAACAAAAATCAATACCATGCAGCTTAAATGTGTCGGTACGTAAACGTCGGTTATTGTTACAAGACTTGTTTCTTTTTATTATTATCCCTTCGTTTGCACTCACTGCTATCTAATTAGTGACTTGTAGGAAGAGGCGTAGTTTGTCTCGTTGCAATGAACAAGGCAATTTTCCTAAAGTGGTATTCCGCGACTGTACTTACATTGCTGGGAATTTATAAGTTGGCGAAACGTAGCAATTGTTTATGAGAATAGTTTGGAAAAGTCTATGATAGTCTGTGACACCTTAACATCATTATAAAAATGTGTTAGTTGTATCTATACTATTATAATAAAACGTAAACACACACTTCTTTGTTGCCTAAGATGTGAATTACAGCATATTTTTGAATAATTCTTGTTTTAATAAAAAGCCCTACACTTGCGTCACGCTTTAGGCTATATATTTTCACGCCATTAAACTTAAGGGGTAAACATTTTGGATAAAATCGCTAATGTAGGAAAGAGACCATAAATTGCTGCCAACATAAAGGAAGCAAGATTGCCAAGGTTTGTTATGTCATTTTGACATTTGCTATTGATAATTTGACAAATGTAAACAAAACTATAATTCCACGCGGATAAAGTCGCACAGGAATAGCTAGTTTATTAATAAAGATATAACCTTTAGTAAGTTATAACAAAGAGAAAACAGCTTATAAAACATTTTAAAGTCAAAAGTTACTTTAGTGAGAGTTAAAAAAATAATATATAATAAAGTTTTCATAATTTCATGCGGATGAATACGCACCGGAACAGCTAGTAATAAAATAAAGCAAATTTGAATATAATATTAAGTAAAATCAATTACAAACTAATTAACTTGATGTAATGTAATTACGTTAATTATATTATGCAGCTACAAAGCGGTCGGAGATAAATCCTCCGATTGTATCTTCATTAAGCCTTTAATGATTCATATTATAACACTTAAATTAATTAAATTTTACTTTTAATTGATATCTTGTGTATTACGTGTATCATACTAATACTATAAATGCAAAAGTTTAGATGGATGGATGTTTGTTAGAGTTTGTAGCCTAAACGGCTGAACTAATTTAGATGAAATTTGACATGTAGAACATAATCTAGAAGATCACATAGGCTACTCAATTTTTAAATCCACGTGGACGGAGTCGCGGGCGAAAGCTAGTATTACTATAAGATAAATTCCGTAGCGCGGTGTACTATTTTTTTACATACTATAATATTTTAATATTTTTTGAATTCAATATAAAGGTCCAATATAAAGGTTTAATTCAATATAAGAATCATTTCTTTTGATTTCACAATAAACTACACAAACATTTAAATTTATTCTTATAGATTTTAATTACTGTATAACATTTTTTTTCATATCTTTTCATACTTTTAATGGCACATCTTCAATGATACTGTTTATCCCCACATTCCCCTCATCGAGTTCAACTCCCCTACTCACTCAACCACTTTAACTGAGATTGCAACATAATTATCGCAGTATATAGGTCAGCGTGTAATTTATAAATTACTAGCCTTAGTCCGCGATTCTGTCCGCGTGTAATTAAAAAGAAAAAAGTAAGTAGCCTTCCAGCCTATCCTCTACATCTGTACCAATTTTATCGGAATTCGTTCAGCGGTTTCGGGTACAAATAGCCATCCATCCATCTAAACTTTCGCATTTATAATATTAGCAAGACAATAAAAATTTGTAGCATATATTAATGACGTATCATACGTATTATTGATGAAACTAGTTTTTTATGTCGTCTACTTGCCCTTATCCCTTACGTATGGTCGGCAGAGTATGTGCTGCTCTTCCATACATCTCTATCAGCTGTCATATCTGAATCCACTCCTTTCTTAAGCTTACCTCTTTCTATCTTTTCTATATATAATATTTCACACAATTCATCCATACTACTTATATCATCAATTTCATTATTGCCATTTTATCCAAGTATGTACATATCTTGGTCTATGTAGGTCTTACATCCATCGTTTTACGCCTTAGAAGTTGAATATCCAGTCTTTCTAGTCGAGTCTTTTCCCATAACATATATGGTTACAACTAGGGTTGTAACGGAATTCTGCTTCAGCATCCGCAAGTGCGGAAGTTCCGCAAGAAATATTAACTCCGCATCCGCTTCCGGTTCTGTTCTTTTTTATGCGGAGTTATAACGGAGGTCAATTTACGACTTTAACGTAAGTTGGCGGTTAGGTATCGTTTATGCGGCTAACTATAATTGTCATACATTATATTTGCATAATAATCTGTATCTTGTAATTATGTACCAATATGTATTTTGAATTAACGTAGTTTTAGTATTTATTTCTTTAGCCCTTCGCCTCCGCATCCGCATCCGCTTCCGTTAAAATGGCCTCCGTCACAACCCTAGTTTCAATGCTCAGAGAATCTAAGCTTGTTATAGATGAGGCCAAATATTGTATTACGAAAGTGTGCCATTTGGTTTCGAATATTATGGGTTTTTAATATTATATTACGAAACGGTACCTTTTAGGTAACATAATTGCAGAGTTACTATCAAGGTTGTCTTCACCATATCTGTGTTAAGGTTAATGCATATGATTTCTACATTGTTTAACTAATCTTGCATTTTAATTAATACGGTATAGATATTAGTTTATTGTGAGAAAAATCGGCTTCTTGTTAAATAAAATCTTTAGTTATTTGAAAATTGTAATGTGCAAATTTTAGCCAAATAAGTTATTATCATCATCCACTTGTCCTTATCCCTTACGGATGGTCGGCACAGTATGTGCTGCTCTTGCATACTTCTCTATCAGCCGTCATATCTGAATCCACTCCTTTTTTAAGCATATCCTCTTTTACACAATCCATCCATACTTTCTTCGGTCGTCCCCTTCCTTTGTAGCCATCCACATTCAATCTTAACACTTTCTGGTTTATGTCCCCATCGTTAAATAAGTTAACAAAGTTTTAATTCTCGTCAATTTTTTTTGAAGTATGTTCTGTTTAACATTTATTTCGTTTTACTATTCAAGTTTGGATACAAATAACACGACAATCTTGTAATAAAATTGTAAAAGAAATTTCACATTTATTTGTGTCAATATGCCACCGTTTTTGGTCGAATGTGATGAAGGTTAAGGAAAGGTGTTCGACATTCGTCCAATTTTTCTCAGATTATTCCTTATTTAGGTTGTGTTGACATATACCAAAATACAAAAATCTATTTCTTACATATTTTGATCGAACAAACATATCTTCGATCAGTAATGCATAAAAAGTAAACATTGTCTAATAGATTAAATTTTAAAAAATAGACAGAAATGTTTCTTACCTATAATAACACTTCGTTCTCTTTTGTGGGTTCCAATTGAAGCAATACATGTGATTCTCATGTTAGGTTTTGCGAGGGCTTTCAAACCTAACGTGGAGATCAGCAGACCTTGAGATACGGGCTTCGCGCCATACGCTATCAACAAACCTCGTTCTATCACCTAAAAAAAAAATAGTTTCAATCATTTTTTCTGAGATATCTATATCGTCTTGTTTATGTGTTTTGTGTCTAGGTATAAAGGCGAAAAAAAGACTGCAATGAATCAATATATATTTTTTTTTATTAAATAAATCTTTTTACTCCAATATGGGAATAACTTTCCTGCACATTCATTGATGAAACAAAACGGCGAAACTTTTTAAATTTTTGAATTTAAATTTCGAATTGGATTATATTTTCATATTTACTGACTTTTAATGTATTAAAGAGAAAAAGACTGCGTCCAATAAGAGTTTTTCGAAACTGCACTTCGCCTCTTTAATTTTAATTTAAATTTATACTTCGGGTTATTCTGTTCGGTTGCGGGCTTATTTTCAAGTATTAATAATTTATGCTTATGTTTTCCACTGCCTTTAAAAGCATGATAATTACTTTTTATTTATGATTATCATTATGGACTTGCGGCCAAATATTGAAACGAGATTTGAATATGTAACAGCGTCTTCAATGAGCTATTTAAACTCTAAATTCTATTAAAAAATTGACATATGTCAAATTGTAAGAGGATGTGTAGAGATGTTTTAGTATTCGGCCGTGAATGTTTCAAATTTCAAAGTTGGTTTCTGATTTGTAAATCTGATATTTTGTATAATATTTTTGACCGACTTCCCAAAAGGACGTACTCAATTTGTCTGTTTATCTTATAACTGCTACTTCTTTTAATATAATTCTTCAGTATATATGTATGTGATCGAAGTAACATTTTTTAGTTGGTAATAAATCTAGTATCAGTCCCTGGATTGAGACTCAGTTAATAAATATTTAAGTACAGAGGAACCTACGGTACTGCATTTAAATATTCATTCCGCCCTACACTTCATGTACAGATGTGTAATTTGTTTGCATACTGAACTACTCTACACAATTTGACAAAGTTCTATCAAGTGTTCTGCAACATGACATCTATTCTCTAAACTATCGGCTGTTAGATAAATTTAAGGAAAGTTTGTGATACAGATTTGTCAAATTAATACAGTTTCTTAATTTTAAATATATCTTGCAAACATTTTAAATGAGTTTGAGGTTATGTTTCACGACAAAAGTCAAATGGAATACCACGATCGCTAGGTCTATTCCCCGTGTTCTGATCCACTTGATTATTGCCTTTGATTATAGAAGTGAATTTCATATAATTTACCTTCTCCCCATTAATGTACCACTGTAGTTCCGGCGCTGGGAAAGATTTGGCCGAAGTACAGTTCACATCTAAGGGTTCGTCGACTGCATATGACTGTTCATAGCCGCTTATACGAGGGTTGTCGCGAGAGAAATCTGGAAGAGAAAAAGAGTGTTAATTTTTTAAAATCAAATTAATAAAAAGTAAAAAAAAAGATAGGATTAGATAGTGAGGTTGTAATAAACTGTTTCGTTAGTTAATTATCTAAAAGTATTCGCACCGGAAAAAGAGGTCATATAAGAATCAGTTCAAAAATGAGTGAATGTAGATTGAATTACATTTTTTTTATTTCATTTCATATTTAACTATTTAGAATAAATCCAATTAATTAAAAATGTTGAAAGAAATATTGAAAACGTGCAATTAGCGAATGTGGAAGAAATAAAAGTAATTTAGTGGCCATATAAATACGACCATGTTTAAAAAAGGTGCGAAGATATCCATCAAGGTAATTGCTATCTTGTTCATTAGGAATGAATCATTCGGTGTCCATTATAATGGAGAAGTTACGTTAAATGTTTAATAATCATTAATTAAATTAATGATCTTGCAAATTAAAATATGTGGAAATAAAAACTAAGGCATGATTTTTAGACTTTATTAAAGACGAGCTGTTGTCCGCAAAACTTCGTTAACGCAGTTTTGGGCCACTCGTTACGCCATTTTGACAGCGCGAATTTAAAAAAAAAGTAGCTCATAATATGCCTATACATGTCAGTTATCCTCCAGTGAAAGTCCCGTCGAAATCTTCCCAACCGTTTCGGATATTACGTGGCTGTCCGCAACAGAGAGACAGACAAAATTTTTTTAAATTCGATATTCATTATCAGCGATGCAAATATATCATCTTTTCGGAATCTGGAATTTTTATTTTGATATTACATAAAGACTGGAAATAGATATACTCGTAGATAGATAGAAAGAAACTTAAATCAACGAAACATATATCATTTTTGAAATATGTTCTAATGGATAATTGATTGAAATACAAAAGATAGTTTTCGTTATGTTGGTACAATAGGTTGTAGTGAAGGCAAAGACAGCTATACCCTTAGTTTATTTATTCTCGTTTTACGACAGCACAGGACGGGAATGGGTGATTCCTTTATGCTGCCGCAAACATCTTGTACTTAATAATTCATCACAAGTACAACTTATGAGCACATCACTGGTGTCACGGAAATATTAAAACACAGCTTCGCTTACTATTGTAATGTACAGTCGCTTGCTTTTTAAAATCGAGTAGCTAGATTTATTTTATCCAACTGCCTCAGGAGATTGATGTTTTTAGCGTATATGTTTTTATGTATAGGTTTGCATGTAAGTTCTCGACAACTTCAACCCTAAACTTAATTGAGGTGTCAATAGGAGGTCTTACTGAGTGTCACTTTTTTAATATAATACAGTATAAAACCATTTTTTATTTTATTATTTGACTCATTAATATATGAATAAATTTCCAGTAAATTGGACAAGGTTAATAAAATAAAATTCAAAGAAACTATAGAAAATCTATAATCTATCTACTTCGTCCGTGTAAAATTTTACTCACTAATAACTTTGTTTGGTTTTTGGTTGGTTTTAAGGTTTTAAGGTTGCAAAAATACAAATCATAACATTAAAATATTTGGTAGTTATGTTAGAATTAGTAATCTCCAAAAGTTTTGAATTACGCAACAATAGATACAATTAATGAACCAGAGATTTAAGAAGTAATAGACATGTACAAAACGAATACACCAGCTGATTAAATGATATATAGTGAAATCGTTCATTTCCTTTTTTATTTCATTACTCATTTTTTAGTTCATTACTTAACATTTTTACTATAGTTTTATCTAATCGAAATTGCGAGAGTTTGCTAAATTATTTTATGGAATCTGTAAGCTTCGAATATCTGAATTCATATTGACCCTTCGATATCCTAACACCTGTGTTCCCTTATTAAATATACAATAAGGAAAGAGGTTATGAAAAACATTCAAAAATACAGTTGTTTTAAAACATTTATGATATAAAATGTAAGAAAAAATAACAACTATATTATCGAGAAAAGAACTATTGATTTTAAACATTAGTCAACATTTAGTAAAAAAAACTTATTAAAACTCGAAGTTTAAAAAGCTTAACTTTATATCAATTAAAAATCTGACCGCGAAAAGTTTTCTTTCTCAACTTTTAAAAGTACCGAGAACTCGATTACAAAGTGAAGCCTCTTAAGGTATAAAAGGTCACTTGGGAGGTTTTTCTATGTTAAAGAGTGACTTTCAAATTTCTTGCTCTTCGAACGACGTTGATTTTGCGTAATGAAAAAAAGTCATGTTGCATTTATTTTTATGGTACAAATATTGTATAGAAAAAACGGTGTATAGATTTTTTTAACAAATTAATCGTTTTCTAGTCCTAACATAATATTTTAAATAAGCTTAGGATTTCGTAACAAAACTTAGATACCGATCAAATATATTCGTAATATTTTCTTATATTATTAACTCTAGTATAAAAGAAAATTATAGTATGCTCTTGCCCGCAACACCGTCCGCGTGGAATGAAAAGAACAACAAAAGTAAATAGCCTATATATTCTTCCAGACTATGTTCTACATCTATGCTAAATTTCATCAAAATCCGTTCAGCATTTAATACTACAAACTCTACCAAACATCCATACATCTAAACTTTCGCATTTATAATATTAGTATGAAGTATGATTATCAAAGCTACGATACGATAGCTGTAAAAACAAAAGAAAAGCACGCCTTGAAAGATAAAATGTGTAACAAGTAATAAATACTCACTTTTAATTTCCTTTTAGTAAGAGTATGAAAGAAACAAAATATTTTTCCTCGTTCGTAAAAGTTGCTGAAAGAAGCACCCTAACTTGAAGTTCAGGAGAAATACTGCCTACAACAAAGTTATAAGTAACATACTTGATGTTAAGGTCCGATACCTTTGATCTATTCGTTTTATTGGTTCGTTTTTATCTTACGTAACTAAAGACGTCTACACACCTTCAGTTACTGTGCAGTTAAAACTTGCTTGTATAGTGTAGCTAATAATTCAAATGTTGCCTACACACTTACGATTTTAGTGTACAAATTACCTATACAATTTAAGCTATCGGTGGTCACACCGTGTGTTTTTGTGTCAACAAAAACGAAGGATTAGTCCGTCTTTTATTATTATTAGTAATATATTTACAAGCTGAACATTCTCAACATCACAAATACTTAGAGTCCTCGGTAGGTTAAACTTAATTTTATTAAACAAACCCCAAACACAGGTGTATTGAACTATACTCCCTACCCTACAATAATAGTTACCCTACAATAACTGACTATGGTTGAGTTCAAGTTGCTCGGTCTAAATGGTGAAAATCTATAGATGGTTGTCGAGTATTTTGGTCTTTTAAATTGATCTTGAAAACAATGTTCTAAAAGAGAACTATTGTTCTTATTAGAAAATCTATTTCGCGATCAACAAAGTAAGTAAAAGCAATTTCAAAGTGAAAGGTCAAAGATAATTTGTTATCTGAGCATTAGTAATTAACCTGGCTGGCCGTGTTACAAAGACTCCAATTAGGGCATGACCTAACGCCTAGAACGATTTAACAAAGATAGTCGAGACTTTCTCAAATTGTTGGCGAAAATGCAGATTATAAATATAAGTAAATTCGTTAATCTACAATTTACCAATAAATCTATCAGTTTCTCAGGTTTATCAGGTAACTAGCTTTTTCCCGCGACTTTAAAAAAAAAGTAAGTAGCCTATGTGTTCTTCCAGGCTATCTACATCTATGCCAAATTTCATCAATATTCAGCAGTTTACGCTACAAGCTCTAACAAAAATCCGTCCAAACTTTTGCATTTATAAGATAAAAATAGTGTTATACCATTCGAAGCAAAACAATTGAAAAGCATCAGTGATCATAGTGGGCTTACACTGTATAAACATCCTACAGAATAATGAATAACTATAATATGTTTAAAGACAATGAGAGGGATGTGTAAATTCACAGTGATTCATGATTTAAATACATCAAAGAGTAGATAGTGAATAACGTAAACTTGGAAAGCCATAATTATTAGAATAACAAGATGTTTTGAATGGCTCGGCTCTCGTACCACTGATCATGCGGGGAGATCTGTCTACGACTTCGCCCTGTCATATGATCTGATGCAGCTGGTTACCTCGCCTACGCGAATCCCAGATGTGGAAGATCATACACCTTCCCTGTTGGACCTTCTGCTGACCTCACATCCGGACAGC